ATGATATAACAGGCACATCACCAGGGCATGGTATAACAGGCACAACACCAGGACATGGTATAACAGGCACAACACCAGGACATGATATAACAGGCACAACACCAGGACATGATATAACAGGCACAACACCAGGACATGATATAACAGGCACATCACCAGGATGATATAACAGGCACAACACCAGGACATGATATAACAGGCACAACACCAGGACATGATATAACAGGCACAACACCAGGACATGATATAACAGGCACAACACCAGGACATGATATAACAGGCACAACACCATGGCATAACAGGCACAACACCAGGACATGATATAACAGGCACAACACCAGGACATGATATAACAGGTACAACACCAGGACATGATATAACAGGCACAACACCAGGACATGATATAACAGGCACAACACCAGGACATGATATAACAGTCACAACACCAGGACATGATATAACAGGCACAACACCAGGACATGATATAACAGGCACAACACCAGGACATGATATAACAGGCACAACACCAGGACATGATATAACAGGCACACTCCCAGTGGTTGGATGCCATGACAGACCAACTGAGAACTGTACTGTGTCTGTCTGTATTGCTATCATGGCTTCGCCATTCCTGTTTGTGTTTAAACACCCGGAGATTACTTAGGCATTAATTAGTAGCTTGTGACGTCATACCAAGCTTTCTCTTTCATCCAAGTAAACAACTGAATGCGTATGTTGCGATGAGAACCATAACAAACACACACACTTAAACCGTTGGGTCTTACTCAGTAACATTTGGACAATCTCATCGATCAAAGAGACCATTATGATTGTGTACGACATAAGACTGTGCTGGCATGAAGAGGCTACGGTTGTTTCATGTGGACCGAGACTTCATGGAATGTTCGATACAGGTCACGCTGACCAGACGCGGGCCCACAATCACTGCTGCCTCTACAACCAGACTATCGATCTATTTATAGAACATTACGCGCTTCATAGACATTTTAGAAGATAACATTAAACAGTCAGTGTCACATTCTTCCTCTTCCAGAAGAAGAGAAACACCAATATTTTGCCCGGCAAGTCAAGCCGTCGATGACATGATGACACCAGCGTCACCATGCACGTGGCCAGAAGGGAAGTGACCAGTACCACACCAGTACTCAGTCGGTCATTCTCACAAGAAAGTTTAAAAATATATCAAAACGGATAATATGAGAAAGGAGCTCAGAACATGTTTTATCCATGTCAGCCTTGTCCATCATTATATATACCTTGGACTCCTTTTTCATTTGTGTCTGTAAGGTCTGGGAGGAAGACTACCAGCCAACAAAGTGCTCCATCCTGACCGCCATTTATTAAACCAGGGTGACACTAGAGGCTGAGGATCATGCGATGTTTCGTTACATGATGTATATGTTTGATACAGCTTATGAAAACGTCGAGGTTGGTGTAATTGAACTAAATGAATTTATCTACTTCGCATCTGGATATCTTTCAATTATTTCTCTAACCCAATGGAACTAGTGTCTCAGTATTAGTTAGACTATGTCGGCTATATGTACGATAGGATATACAATGTCAGGGGAAGACAGGAGATACAACGTCAGGGGAACACAGGAGATACAATGTCAGGGGAAGACAAGAGACACAACGTCAGGGGAAGACAGGAGATACAACGTCAGGGGAAGACAGGAGATACAACGTCAGGGAAGACAGGAGATACAACGTCAGGGGAAGACAGGAGATACAACGTCAGGGAGAAGACAGAAGATACAACGTCAGGGGAAGACAGGAGATACAACGTCAGGGGAAGACAGGAGATACAACGTCAAGAGAAGACAGAAGATACAACGTCAGGAGAAGACAGAAGATACAACGTAAGGGGAAGACAGGAGATACAACGTCAGGAGAAGACAGAAGATACAACGTCAGGGGAAGACAGAAGATACAACGTCAGGGAAGACAGGAGATACAACGTCAGGGGAAGACAGGAGATACAACGTCAGGGGAAGACAGGAGATACAACGTCAGGGAGAAGACAGAAGATACAACGTCAGGGGAAGACAGGAGATACAACGTCAGGGAAGACAGAAGATAAAACGTCAGGGGGATGACAGAAGATATACAATGTCAAGGGAGGCAGACAGAAGATACAATGTCAAGGGAAGACAGAAGATACAATGTCAAGGGATGACAGAAGATACAATGTCAAGGGATGACAGAAGATACAATGTCAAGGGATGACATGAAGATACAATGTCAAGGGAAGACAGAAGATACAATGTCAAGGGAAGACAGAAGATACAAGGTCAAGGGAAGACAGGAGATACATTGTCAAGGGAGAGCACAATGGAGACAAAGGTCAAGGGAAGACAGGAGATACAAGGTCAAGGGGGAAGACAGGAGATACATTGTCAAGGGAAGACAAGATACAATGTCAAGGGAAGACATGAGATACAAGAGATCAAGGTCAAGGGAGGGAAGACGAGAGATACAAGGTCAAGGGAGAGACAAGAGATACAAGGTCAAGGGAAGACAGGAGATACATTGTCAAGGGAAGACAAGAGATACAAAGGTCAAGGGGAAGACAGGAGATACAACGTCAGGGGAAGACAGGACATGATACAAGGTCAAGGGGGAAGACAGGAGATACATTGTCATGGGAAGACATGAGATACATTGTCAAGGGAAGACAAGAGATACAAAAGGTCAAGGGAAGACAGGAGATACATTGTCAAGGGAAGACATGAGATACATTGTCAAGGGAAGACAAGAGATACAAGGTCAAGGGAAGACAAGAGATACAAGGTCAAGGGAAGACAGGAGATACATTGTCAAGGGAAGACATGAGATACATTGTCAAGGGAAGACAAGAGATACAAGGTCAAGAGGGAAGACAGGAGATACATTGTCAAGGGAAGGCATAGGATACATTGTCAAGGGAGACACAGAGAGATACAAGGTCAAGGAAGACAAAGAGATACACGGTCAAGGGAAGACAGGAGATACATTGTCAAGGGAAGACAAGAGATACAATGTCAAGGGAAGACATGAGATACATTGTCAAGGGGAGACAAAGAGATACATTGTCAAGGGAAGACAAGAGATACAAGGTCAAGGAAGACAAGAGATACATTGTCAAGGGAAGAAGGCATGAGATACATTGTCAAGGGAAGACATGAGATACATTGTCAAGGGAAGACATAGAGATACATTGTCAAGGGGAGACAAGAGATACAAAAGGTCAAGGGAAGACAGGAGATACATTGTCAAGGGAAGGCATGGAGATACATTGTCAAGGGAAGACAAGAGATACAAGGTCAAGGAAGACAAAGAGATACATTGTAAAGGGGAGACAAGATACAAGGTCAAGGGAAGACAGGAGATACATTGTCAAGGGAAGACAGGAGATACAAGGTCAGGGGAAGACAGGAGATACAAGGTCAGGGGAAGACAGGAGATACAAGGTCAAGGGAAGACAGGAGATACAAGGTCAAGGGAAGACAGGAGATACAATGGTCAGGGGAAGACAGGAGATACAATGTCAAGGGATGACAGAAGATACAATGTCAAGGGATGACAGAAGGTACAATGTCAAGGGAAGACAGAAGGTACAATGTCAAGGGAAGACAGAAAGTACAATGTCAAAGGAAGACAGAAGGTACAATGTCAAGGGATGACAAGATACAATGTCAAGGGATGACAAGGTACAATGTCAACGGAAGACAGAAGGTACAATGTCAAGGGATGACAAAGGTACAATGTCAACGGAAGACAGAAGGTACAATGTCAAGGGATGACAGAAGATACAATGTCAAGGGAAGACAGAAGATACAATGTCAAGGGATGACAGAAGGTACAATGTCAAGGGATGACAGAAGGTACAATGTCAAGGGAAGACAGAAGGTACAATGTCAAGGGATGACAGAAGGTACAATGTCAAGGGATGACAGAAGGTACAATGTCAAGGGATGACAGAAGGTACAATGTCAAGGGATGACAGAAGGTACAATGTCAAGGGATGACAGAAGGTACCCATTTTATTCTGGGAGGTAATCAATTTTGAATATCGGCAATCAGTTGAAATTGAAAAACACCTAAATTCTAAAATACCCAAACCAGCGCGTAAGACTTTAAACATAAATCAACTTTCACTGTAAATGGAATGGGCTGTGGCCAAAATATGATAGTTCGAGATTAGCAACGGGCTGTCAGTATAACGTCTAGCCGATACACCAGACAGATAAGGTGTAAACACCTCACCGGTGAACACGTCAGTCTCGCAGCTGGGGACTGTTTTGTTTGTCGAGTTCATGGTGACCTCAACATATTTAAATAACAACGGTGGATGAAATTAATCATCAATGTCGACCCTTGCAAACATACTCTTCTACGTGGGTGTGAAACATTAAATGACAATATTTATAGTGTGATCGTGTCATCTTTCCCGCAGCTCATTAAGCTCCTCGCAAGGCAGATAAATTATGAATTAGTTACGTCGAATATAAATGTATTTTGAATTTAGCTAATTTAATTGTGTTTTACTGCGTTATAATCTTGTCAGCTGGAACATGTAGACTAACGACAGTAACGCTTAGTGTCTGAATTTATAGACTTGCTTTATTTAGGGCTTGAGCATTGCAGGGAGGGCTAGGCTGTAGGGAAAATAATATGGTTCAAGGACTGTGAGACAGACGACTGGAACATGGTGTCGTTGTTGCTGCCTCTGTTCGTACGTGTGAGAGCGGCATATCTAGGATTGTACATGTTGATGTATCATCAAGTAACATGCAGGAAACCAACTTGTGGGATATATCATCTCATTAAATAATCAGCAAATATATTTTCTTACTCTGGCAATCACCTGCTTTATATCACCTGTGATATCACATCACGCTGTCTCGATTAGAAATAAACATTCGTCAGTTTCAACCGTACGTCTTCACTTATCTAAAGTGCACGTGTGTAAAAAAGAAAGTATTTTCCGTCCTTACCTGAACTTTGAAACAAAGTATTCCTAAATCCAACAAGTCCTACTCTCATTAGCTATACGCCACAGTACACGCCTCCCTTAACAGGGAGAGATTTGAAATCCCGCTTGTTCAAAACTGACCTCACCAGTGACCCCGTCTCATTTGCATGCTTATACACTATTGTTCATGCGGCGGCCCTCCAGATCCTTGACAAACCACCGGTCATCACTTAAGATACCAATTTCGAATGTTATGTAATTTTATCAAATTGTCAGATAATCAAACAGTGTAATCGTTTAATAAATATTGCCTGAACACCTGTCACCGTTGGGTGGTGGAGTTTTTCATTAGTTCACGAAGTACAGCGCTAAACCAATCAAAATATTGGAAGCAAGGGTTTACTCGCCATGTGGAATTCCACTACAAGGGGGCGTGGCCGTTAGAAGTAATTAAATTGCAAGCGTCGAAACATCACGTACTGCCATTTATATCCAAATGCAAATAACTTGTTTGTAAGTTGTTATCAAACTATTGTGAGAAACTAGTACAGTGTCTGTGCACAGCTTCGCTAATGCACTGCGTTGTGAAGGGCGATGTTAGTGTTACAGTCGGGTCAACTCCAGTTATAGCTGCGGTCATCTTCGCTGTGATCGATTTTGAGTAGGAACTAAATGCTCCTACTGAATGTTAAGGGCTTGCTCCAACTGCTGACTGCGCGGAATATAAGCTCCAAATAACATCATGTATCGAGTGCAACTAGCATGATTCATTTTGCATAAAATGTCTACATTTTAAAGCCAAGCCTATATGACATTGGCGTTTTAATTTATCACGCCATACCACATTTCTTTAGTATGTGCTTTTGAGCCCCTGATATTGTTGCACATAAAAAATGAAAAGTAACGGAAGTATTATGTCTGAGAGTGTGTACTTGAAAGGCTGAGTGCATGATGGTGTGTGTAGGATTATCTGTGTACCTACATACTATAGGATATCTACATATGATAATGTATCTACGTAATAGTGTATCTATATGATAGTGTATCTACATGATGGTTTGTGTTAGGGTGCATAATTGTGTATCTACATGGTATGTCTACATGATAGAATGTGCATATTAATGTATATACATGATAGAGTGTATGCACAATAATGTATATACATGATACTGTGTGTGCATAATAATGTATATACATCATAGAGAGTGTGTGCATAATAATGTATCTACCTGATAGTGAGTGTGCATAATAATGTATCTACATGATAGAGTGTGTGCATAATAATGTATACACATCATAGAGTGTGTGCATAATAATGTATATACATGATAGAGCGTGTGCATAATAATTTACATACATCATAGAGTGTGTGCATAATAATGTATATACATGATAGTGTGTGTGCATAATAATGTATATACATGATAGTGTGTGCATAATAATGTATATACATCATAGAGTGTGCATAATAATGTATATACATCATAGAGTGTGTGCATAATGATGTATATACATGATAGTGAGTGTGCATAATAATGTATATACATGATAGTGTGTGTGCATAATAATGTATATACATGATAGTGTGTGTGCATAATAATGTATATACATCATAGAGAGTGTGTGCATAATAATGTATATACATGATAGTGTGTGTGCATAATAATGTATATACATCATAGAGTGTGTGCATAATAATGTATATACATGATAGTGTGTGCATAATAATGTATATACATGATAGTGTGTGCATAATAATGTATATACATCATAGAGTGTGCATAATAATGTATATACATCATAGAGTGTGTGCATAATAATGTATATACATGATAGTGTGTGTGCATAATAATGTATATACATGATAGTGTGTGCATAATAATGTATATACATCATAGAGTGTGCGCATGATAATGTATATACCTGATAGTGAGTGTGTGCATAATAATGTATATACATCATAGTGCATGTATAATAATTTATATACATGATAGTGAGTGTGCATAATAATGTATATACATCATAGAGTGTGTGCATAATAATGTATATACATGATAGTGAGTGTGCATAATAATGTATATACATGATAGTGTGTGTGCATAATAATGTATATACATGATAGAGTGTGTGCATAATAATGTATATACATCATAGAGTGTGTGCATAATAATGTATATACCTGATGAGAGTGAGTGTGCATAATAATGTATATACATCATAGAGTGTGTGCATAATAATGTATATACATGTTAGAGAGTGTGCATAATAATGTATATGCCTCATAGAATGCATACATAATAATGCATATACATGATAGTGAGTGTGCATATAATAATGTATATACATCATAGAGTGTGTGCATAATAATGTATATACATCATAGTGATAATGAGTGTGCATAATAATGTATATACATGATAGTGTGTGTTCATAATAATGTATATACATGATAGAGTGTGTGCATAATAATGTATATACATCATAGAGTGTGTACATAATTAGTGTATATACACTGACAGTGAGTGTGCATAAAAATGCATATACATCATAGAGTGTGTGCATAATAATGTATATACATGATAGAGTGTGTGCATAATAATGTATATACATGAGTGTATGTGCATAATAATATATATACATGATAGAGTGTGTGCATAATAATGTATATACATCATGGCAGAGTGTGTGCATAATAACGTATATACATGATAGTGTGTGTGTGCATAATAATGTATATAAATGATAGTGTGTTTGCATAATAATGTATATACATCATAAAGAGTGTGCATAATAATGTATATACATCATAGAGTGTGTGCATAATAATGTATATACGTGATAGTGTGTGTGCATAATAATGTATATACATGATAGAGTGTGTGCATAATAATGGGTTATAGCTGAAACGGCCCCACAGCAGAACGGCCCCCAAGACAGAAACGGCCCCAAATTGGCTATAACGGCCCCAAATGCTTTTGGCTGAAATGGCCCCATGACTAAACGCAGCCCCAAGTAAAAAGGCATTTCTAATAAAACGGCCCCTATTTGCCAAAATGGCCCCAAAATAATCAGAGGAGCTTATTTCAATGTGTGTCCTTAGTCACAAATGATAGATCAAAACGCATATTTTTTCAATTACTTATTAAATTAATTTAACTTTGACATTTCATCATGATTGTATTCTGTTTTTGGAAATGGCCATGAGGCCAATAATACATGTGGAAGATATAAATCAAACTGAATATTGTACAGATCATCTAACAATATTCACTAAAATTTAAGTTTGATAAATAAAACATTAGATTTCAGAATCAGAATTCAAATTGTTAAAACACATCCATACCATGAAGTCACACATACAGTCATTAAAAACAACATTGAAGTAGCAGTTGCTCTGTGTCGAGTTAATCCTGACAGAGCTGGTGTTTTGACAAACATTAGCAATAGTACTTTAAAAGAATGAATATGATAAAATATAAGTCCTATGAACTCAAGACTATGGCAGAGTGTTCTGTGTCAATTATATACAGTATTAATCGGTGGGGATAGATGGTTACTGTACATTCCACAATGACAAAACGCTGCGTAGTTTGCAATAAGACAGTTCTGAAGAGCAGCACGCCATTAGCTGTGATGGTTGTCAACTATGGACACACCGTCTTTGCGGCACAGGGATTTCAGCACTCAGATACAAGGAAATATGCAGAAGCAAAGAAGATATGGAGCTAACGTGTACTGGCGCTGTAGTGTCCGGAATTCCACCACCACCTGTTCAGCCTCTGTCATACAGACTGGTGAGAAGTTTGAAGATGGCATCCATCGGCACTGTCATCCTCCAACACCTGGTCAACTTACAAACCATTAGGGTCAGAATGGAGGTGATTATGATCTGTTTGTTTAGCTAATTGCACTGATTAGCTACCGGTATTGCCTAAGGAGATTAAATGGATTAACCTATTCATGATTTAATTACCGGTAGCAGCTCGTTGCATTGATTAGCCTACCTGTTTACTCATCTCATTGAGTAACTATATATTCTTTATGATTTTAAAATGTGAGAGACCAAGCAGTTAAAGAACTGTATACATCAGGCAACACCATCGTTGAGAGAGCTCAACAGAAATACATTGATCAAGAACTTGGACTTCAGGTAAGAGGTTTAAATATATTATATCTAAAATCTGTCGGGCTTTCATTGATAATGACCTAAATTAAGAGTTTCTTAAGACTGATGTTTATACTGTTCTTTTTAACTAGGTTGCATCTATGAAAGAGGACTCAACACACAAGTTCATCAAGAAGTTAATGGCTTTGCTGTTCCTGCCTGCTTCACACATCTCAAGCCTGTTTGAAAGGATGTCAGAGAGAGTACCTCCCTGATGGAAAGCACCCTACATGTCGAGGGTGGGTTTCTTTCCAGTATATCAATATTTATACCCTATATACAAGAGAACTAAAATGTATGAAAGAGAAATAAAGATCTATGTAATGCCCCAAAAAGTATTAAACATTTGACTGGATTTAATATTTGATGAATATCATTATGGTATTGTTTTGTATTCTTAATAGGCTGGCACACAGACGAATCAACAGTAAAGTTGGTGATCAGCCCCTTGGCATATACAGACTAATCCCCTGACTTGCACAGAGAAGCCAGTCTGTTGCCCCTTGCAGGTTCGGATGATCCAAGAAGGCTGATTTCTTCAACCTACCTGCGCAACTCTGCCACAGCTACACAGGAAAATATCTTCGAGTCCTGGAGAGGTTACAAGGATGGATACCTATCAGCTGGGTCAACTTTGACCAGATGCAGCCAAATCCATGGACCCATCAGCCGCTGACTTTATATCTAAGAACTGTTCCCTTGTTGATATCATGCAAGAACCATTGGAAGTCTATTGTCTGTGTTGTTATTCTGTTTAATACCCATTATGTAACTTCAGATTACACTAAAATTGAAAACAAATACATCGTCAAGCACGTTAGTGGTACTGCGCTGTGTGCTGCAAAAGGAGTGTATTACGATTTTTTCTGGTTTCAATATATGTTACATGTTAATATAAATGCTGAAATATATTTCACGGTTTTTGCAATTGTACGG